TTTATGATTTCTCTCACTGCACTTGGGAGTTTACAAGAATGGTTTTCAGGTTTTTTCTGGCATCCTTAAAAGGTAGCCAGGACTTTGAAGTTCAGAGCTGTGAAGGTTGTTTTACGATCTGCTTGGATTCCTTATATGAGATAGGGGTGTGTGTGTGTGTGTGTGTGTGTGTGTGTGTGTGTGTGTATGTGTGTGTGTGTGTGTGTATGTATGTGTTGGTGTATAGTTTACAGTAGATGAATTATAATTATTTTTGTTTTTTGGAATGACAATATTTTGTTCACTTTTAAGTGGTGCAGAAGTTAGCTGTCAGCAATATAATCACAATGATATAGTTTTCCCTTCATGTCTCCTGTAAGAGCCGCCCTACCCAGCCACCCAGCGCACGTCTTTCCCATCAACAGACTCTCCCAGTCCCCTGTCTCAGACCCACTTTTATCCAGTAGCCTGTGCCTTCCTTCCTTTTCCTCTTTCTCTGGAGGCCCGAGTTGCTGTCTCTCTGTAGTCAGGGGGTTTTGTGCCTCACTAGCTTCATAGGTGACCGGGTGAAAGCTGACTGCAGGGACCACTTCCCTGAGCCTCTGCTGCCCCCCGTGGTTTCTTCAGTGAGTCACTTCCTAGAATCCCATGCATTTTTGAAAGTTCTCTGAAGATCTAGTTAGCTGACTAGATTTCTCTACTGATGTTTTTATTTTTGTTAAGTTCTCTGCTTTGATGAGATTCATCAGCTCCTTGTGAGCCTGTTCCCGATGCTCCCTTCCCTATAGCTTTCCAGTCTGCAGCACAACAAACTCACTTCCCTTGGCAGGGAGTGGAGTAGGGGGGGACAGGAGGAACTGTGGGCGTTTGTTAGAAGGGATGGGGCACACTGCAGCCCCCCCTTCCATCTTGCCCTTGCTCTCCTGCCATGTTCTGTGTCAGTACTGTGTACAAGGTAAAGAAAGAGGGGAACAGTAGCAGAAGTAGACCAGAGCCCTGCCCTGCCCCCACCCTGCCCCGGAAGCTAGAGTATGCAGACAATCCCAACTGGCGTTAGTGTCCCTGAGAAACCTTGGCTGCACCCCTGCCCTGGGTCTGCTTCTTGGACCGCATTGCTCTTTGTTTTTTCATAGGCTAGTGCTGCAGCTGCAGTAGATGAGGGTCTAGACAGCACTGGGCCACTGGGCTCAGGCAGAAGGTGTGAGCACACTCTGGGCTCGAGGTGATGGGAGACCTCCGTGGCTCAAGCTCTCTGCTTAGCGGATGAGACGTCCTTCATGAAGCCCCAGGAAGCACACATTTCCTCTCCACGATCTTGCCATATTTTGCCAGCTACAGGGGTGTGAAGCCCACATCTGTCTCTGCATTTCAGCCAACCAGAAGGAGTGTTTCTTGTTCTTTTTGACATAGACCGGAAACTCCTGACTTTCCCTGTGTGTGCTGCAGAAATTCTTTCTCAAACAAAAGAACTAACCGCCCAATTCCCTCAGAACAGGTGGTGTATTTGGGCTCATATTCTCGGAGGTGCCGTCTGGGGGTGCTTGGCTAGAACCCCTGGCTGTGGGAGCATGGGGCATGAAGCAGAATGAGACTGGAAGCTGCAGAGAACCAGCTACACCCTACAGAGGCACACTCCAGTGACCTGTCTCTCCACAAAACCCCACAGCACAGTGCCAAGTTTCCAGAACTCCCCAAAAGAGTGCCACCAACTGTGGGCCAAGTGTGTGACTCCTGCGCCTGTGGGGACATTGTCTGTGCAGATCAGGACACGTGCATTTACAGAGTGGTGGGCATCACACTGCCTTGCCCTAGAGACTCTAGCCTGTACTCTTGGATTTCCTGGAATGCTCCCAACCCTTGCCAGAAGGCTTTCCTCTTCCGACCACTTGGAGGAACCACCTGCCGAGGCCAGCCTATCCTAACAGACCCTGGTGGGGACTCCTCTAGAGGGGGCTTGCTGGAGTAACCTGTTCAGAGGCCTGAGCAGAGATGGGTGGATGATGGCTGGACCACTCTGAGCTCTAATTCCCTCCAGGGTGACGGAGGATTGGCTGTTTCTCCCCATATGACTGAGGCATAGAGTCGGTGACAATGGAAGGAGCTGGAGTTGTCCAGCGAGTGCCATTGCCTGCTGTCTCTACTCTTGATGAGGGTCGCTTCTGTTTGTCCTCCATGCGGAAAGCCCCTAAACCCCAAACTAGAGCTTGAAGCATTTTCTTCTGGGGATGGTATCATGTTCGAAGCCAGGCAGGCTTCCATGAACTACCGACAGCGCTGTCCATTTTCATGAGTAGCTGGACAGATGTTCCCTAGCAACTAGCTTATTGGCAAATCTAGGAGAACCTGGAGCTACCCTCCCCGCTTGTCCCTCATACTGCACACTTATGCCTTGGTAGGTAGTGATGCAAGAGGCATCAGCTCAACTGACACAGCAACAGTGTGAGAAGATCCATGCACCCTGACACTCTTGTTTTATAATGTTGTAATATGAGCGGCGGGCTACGTTCCTGGCACCCGGCCGCCCACATGGCTAGCTTATGCCCCGAAATAATTACATGGAAACTGTATTCTTTTAAACACTGTCTGGCCCATTAGTTCCAGCCTCTTATTGGCTAGCTCTTACATATCGATCTAACCCATTTCTAATATCCCCGTAACAAAATGAGGTGTCTTACCAGGGAAGATCTTAACCTGTGTCTGTGTCCGGTAGGAGAATCATGGCGACTCCTTGACTCAGCTTCTTTCTCCCAGCATTCTGTTCTATTTACTCCACCCACCTGAGGGTTGGCCTATCAAATGGGCCTAGGCAGTTTCTTTATTAATTAACCAATGAAAACAACAGATTAGAAAGAAATCACTCCCACATCATTATAAAATGCAAGATTTGAGTTTAGTGGGATAAGGGGGACCTGCACATGTCTTGCCTGTTCTGACTCATGCTTGACACCCTCGCTTGGTGGCAAGAACTATCTCTATGATAAGACACGTTGCAGTGGCTGGTGACTTCAAAACGATCTCTCTCAAGACTTGCCGTGAAGTGCTTTTGTTACACCCGAAGTCTGGATCGCCAGAACATCACCACGTATCCGATGCAAAAGCCAAGAGTTTTTATTGCAGGGGCCCCTCCGTCTGTCTGAAGTGACAGCAGCAGCAATGACAACTGGAACAGTGCAGGAAAGACCCTAGCAACGGAAAGAGGGGATTTATATAGAAGAGATTTGAGGAATTCTAAGTCTCTAAACTTGTGATTGGCTGCCACCTAGTGGGGTGAGGGGAATTCCAGACTTCCAGGCTTGGGATTGGCTGCCCTCTATGATGAAAGGGGGTTTCCAGGCCCGAGGGGAATTTCCAACTGCCAGTAACTGCCTCTAGGGACTCAGTGATTGGTCTGTTTTCCCTGTTCAGGGATTGGCTGGTTTTGTGTTGGGGCAGAGGTGGTTCTGATTCTGGAGTCTTTCTTTGGTTCTTTACTTTTTTGACTCAATTTTGGGACCAGGGTGAATAATATCTTTGGTATAGTCTGAATTTAGGGGCTTAGTGTGTTCTTTTGGTCCTGGTTTCAGGCTCCAGGTTCGGGGACAAAGTATCTCTAACACTGGCTCTGGTGCCATTTTCTATCCCTGGCTCTGAACCCAGAGTCAGGCTGCTCAGATTCACTGAATCAGTGTGGGCCTGTGCCTCTCGCTTTCTTGATGTTTGGGTGTCAAGTCACCTGCTGAAGAAGAAGGGGTGCTCAGAGCTTTTCCGTGCATCCCCTCACCACCTCCAAAGTCAACCCTCCTGACCCTGCGGACTTCACTTCCTTTTCTTAATACAAGTGTTTGGTTCATCCCTTCTCCAGGGGGTGGTGACCCTTGGAGGCCTATGGCGTTCATAGGGAGGTCCAGCTCACTGTCTCCGCCCCTTCCCATGCAGTAGAAGGCACAGTGATTTAAAGCAGTGCAGGAAAGGTCAGCCTGTTGCTTCTTGACGGAGGAGCAAGCAATGAGAACCAGGCACTACAGGAACCACTTTGCTGCCCCTTTCCCTCTCCACAACAGCACTGTGAAGTGTTGATGTTAATGTCGTGTGCATTAGAGACCCAGGCTTAAAAGGCTGAGTGATTCACCTGCCCTGAGTCACCAATTAAGTGGCCGGGTGAGGTTTAAATACAGCCTCAGAGCCCAGGCACTTAGCATCCCGCGCCCTGTGTGGGATGTGAGGGAGAGCTTGCCTCATGAGGGGTAGACTAGAGAGAAGAGGGGGATGCAAGGGACACAAGGATGCCCGTGACACATCTGTAACCCAATAAACACTTGGGGACCTGCAGCGTTTTACTTAAACCATAACAAAGGGTTCGTTTGAATTACACTTCCGTATCATATTCCATCACTGAGGGAAGTCAGGGCAGGAACCTGGGAGCAAGAACTGAAGCAGAGGCCTTGGAGGGTGCTGCCCACTGGCTTTCTCCTCCTGACTTGTTCAGTTACCTTTTACATATGATCCAGGCCCACCTGCCTGCCCACGGTTGGCACCTCCCACAATGGGCTGAGTCTTCCCACATCATTAAGGAAAGGCCCCCAGACATGGCCACAGCCAGTCTGATAGACGTCATTCCTCGGCCGGCTTTCCTCTTCCTACATGACTCTACCTTGTCAAGTAGACAAAAAACAAACAAACAAAAAACTATTACAATAGCATACAGTAGGCTTGGCTGTGAGCTGAGGTGCTTCAGGCCGCATTCAGGGTGTAGCATAGTGCTAAGTGTTTGCTGTGTGTTTAGAATCCAGGCTGCTGTGAAGCTGCGTGGCACTGCATGGATGAGCACTTCCAGAAACCCCTGCATTTGTTACCCTTTTGACTTTGAGTTTTTGGTCATGTTCAGAAACCTTTCACTGTCAAAAGTTTTTGATGGTCACATTCCGTTGGTATGTGATGTTATGACTCACAGTGCAGGAAGCATTGACTTGGGCATCAGTGGGGATCAGGGAGGTGCAGGTCCAGAGCTTCATTCATCTGGAACTCTCTCCTTTGCTTCCCAGGTACCCAGATAAGCTGCTTCTCCCCAAGCTCTTTCTCCTGGCGACAGGCTTCCTTTGTGGATTCCTACTGTTGGGCGGCTGTACAGCAGAAGAGTTCCCTGCAGAGCGAGTCTGGAAACCTCCCACTTTGGCTGCACAAGGTAAGGAGATATGGTCACACCTGCTGTGCTTGCTTTCCGGATACAGACATGGAGGCCTGGAAGGGCTGTGCCCCCCAAGGCCATGCACACTGGAGAAGCCACAGCAGTGACGGCATCAGATAGGCGCTCTCCAAATTTCAGGTTTTCAGGCATCTTATACATCTTTGTTTCTTTTGTGTCCTTAATTCCCCTGCAGAAAGTCTGGCCCATGGTGGGCCCTCACTACCTTTTGAACACCCAGATAAGCAGAGCTGGGGTTTGAACATTGGCCAGAGCCTTGTTTGTAACAAAAGTAAAGCCTAACACATAGTTGAGTTGCTTCTGGCCACTGTGTTGCTGAAGCACCTAGAAGCCTGGTCATGAATCCCGGGTACACAACTCTTGATGGGTTTCTGGTGGGGCATGTGTTATGGTAAAAATAAAATGCTGTAGGTCCCTGAGTGGCGGCAGTGGGCAGCAGGCACGAGACCATGGCGGGCCACGAAGGCAGCCGTCCCAGGCAGGGAGCCTTCATGGGCCAGTGGGTCCTAGGCAGGGAGCCGCATGGAGGGTGAGAGTCCTTGGAGCTGCAGCCATGGAGGGTGGGATACAGAGACCTGTTAGGCACCACCTGTGTGGTGGGGTGAGAGGCCGAGAGCAGCAAGTCCCAGGCAGGGAGCCGCAGGGTGAGTGAGAGACAGAGATGGAGCAGCCAGTCCCATGAGGAGCCGCATGGTGAGACAGAGATGGAGCAGCCAGTCCCATGAGGAGCCACAGCCGCAGCAGGTGAGAGGCAGATGGATAGGCACGCCATGCAGGGTGAGGTTGGGTATTTATTTAGTGGGTTATGGAAGGGGAAGGGGAGAAGGGGAAGAGCAGAGAGAGAGAGAGAGAGAAATGGTGGGGGGGAGGGGAGAGGAGAGGTGCCACAGCAGCAGCTACCTCTTTGGGAGAGAGACAGAAAGGAAGGGCTCAGACTGGAAGTGGAAGGAAGATCTGCCTGCCTGGGTGGTAGACAGTGGGGGGGGGGGGGGCTCGTCTCTTAAAGGGACAGAACAGACCATTACAAGGGGGTAGGGCACTGTAGGGTGGGAGTGTGCAGGAACTGGACAGTAAGAAGCTACAGCTGAGCCTAGCTGTGTGCAGAAGAACACTCTTAACACTCTTACATGGCAGCTTGACACCGTCAGTCTTCTCTGGCAGTGGTGATGTCACACCTTAGGTCTTCTCTGTGAGTAAGGATGTAACATCTCAGGTCTTCTCTGTGAGAGAGAATGTGATGTCTTGGGTCTTCTCTGTGACACTCTGGGTCTTCTCTGAGTGATGATGGTGACACCTTGGGTCTTCGCTGTACACACAACAGCAGGGCTCTGCTTCAGCCTGCCCTTCATCTGCTGGTTCTTTTGCCCTTCATAACAATAAGTAGAACATTTGTGTCCTCTGATGCTCACATTTCCTGCAGAATGCACGTGGTAGCTTCTACACTGCTAGAACTGACCGTAGATCCTCCGCTGCCTTGACTCCCTGAACACCCAGTCCGTGGTCTTCTAAATAGACCTCTTTCTGCACACAGTGACTCGCGCTGGCTCTGACCTGCCTCCCCCACACCTGTTCATTGCACATTTGGCACAGAGGACACCACACGGTGGCTGGGTTGGGCTTTTCCCTTTGATTTGCAGCCCGGGTGCTGGGTGGGCCCTTGTCCACGTTGCATGATTTACTGGTCAGTATGTCACTCTACCACGGTGTCAGGACCTTCAGCATAAGCAGACACACTTGCAGGGGATAAGAACCTTTGTTTGGGGGACTGGAGAGATGGCTCAGTGATTAAGAGCACTGGCTGTTCTTCCAGAGGACCCAGATCCAGTTCTCAGCACCCACAAGGCAGCTCACACCTGTCTATAACTCCAGTTCCAGGAGATCTGACATCCTCACACTGACGTCATTGTAGGCAAAATGCTAATGCACAGAAAATAAAAAAGTAAAGTAAAAGGAATAAATCATTTAAAAATAAAGAACCTTTGTAAATTTCAGCCCATGCTTCTGTAGTTTAAGTCCATGTTAAAATGTCATTGTGGAAGCACAAGCCGTACAGTCTCTGGGTTGGCGTTGGCTGAACTCAGACTGTGGCTGGGATTGCATAATGGGATGACAGCCACTGTGGGCTTGTTAGAGCAAGAAAAGTCCAGATGGTTCTCACAGTAGCAGTGGGCCACAGATGGCATGTCAGATTCTCAGAGTTCACTGGTGCTGAAATGAACACGCAAGAGAATAATTAGAAACCAAGACAGAAAGGGGAAAGAGTGGTTTTTCCCTGAACCAGGGACAAGCTTGCAGACTGAGCTATGAGCTCCTGAATCCCCCTGCTGCTGGGGTGCAGCCAGGCCTGTGTGCTGTTAATCCTTGGAGCTCCTGGGTGTGTGTGCGTGTGTGTGTGCGTGCGTGCGTGCGTACGTGTGTGTGTGTGTGTGTGTGTGTGTGTGTAAGAAATGAGGGTGATGCTTTAGAAGAGCAAGTGGCCTTTTCCTTAGAGGATATGCTCTTCCTGTGGGCAGAGGTAACAAATTGGGCGGGAACAGGGCGAAAGCTTCGTGTCCAGAAAGACTGCACTTGTGATGAGAGTCCAGAGAAGGAGGGGATGAGAGGCTGGAGAAGAGACCAGAGATGCTGAACCACCAACCACTGAGGCACTGACCGGGGCAGCGGATCTCAACCAGTGGGTCGCCACCCCAGAATAGCCTGCATATCCGATATTTACATCATGATTCATAACAGTAGCAAAATTACAGTTATGAAGTAGCAATGAAGTAGTTTTATGGTTGGTGTCACCACAACACGAGGAGCTGTATTAAAGTGTTGCAGCATTAGGAAGGTTGAGGACCACTGGCCTGGGAGCGTAGCAGTGAAGCATCCCCCGGACATGCCTGTCCTGATGTAGACCAGGATGGAGGCGAGGTTGCAGAGACGGAGTCCCAAACAGGTGTTGCATCAGCGGGGCCACTGTATGTTCCTGAGCGGTGCTTGGTTTCTAAGAGTAGGTCCCTGAGTGGCGGCAGTGGGCAGCAGGCACGAGACCATGGCGGGCCACGAAGGCAGCCGTCCCAGGTAGGGAGCCTTCATGGGCCAGTGGGTCCTAGGCAGTGGTTGGAGGAGAGGCTGAGAAAACCTAGCCAGGCACAGAGGAACTTCTGGTCAGCAGGAGGGGAGACAGGGAGGGCCACTAGCCAGACACAAAAGGAGAGTTTAGATTGGGAAGGAAGAGAGGCAGGATGGGGAGAGCCAGGCTCAGAGCAGGCGAGGCAAGTGGGTGTTTCTGAGGTGGGGAAGTGCAAAAGCAAGCAGGGCTTGCTGCCATGTAGCCAGCTACAAGGTGACACCGTGAGATCCTGAAAGGGGATATTGAGAGCCTGTGCCGGGGCCAGCAGACTCACTGTGGACAACTGGACGGTGAAGTCACACCAGGGCAACAGGCAGTGAGCTCGTAACTAGTTAGCAGTTAATCAGCCCCACACACTCCTCCCGGGATAGCATGCCTGGGGACACAGGAAGACGACATTCCACGTATCTGAGGAGCTAGGGCCAGAAAGATGTGCTATTGGAACATGGAGACTTAGCAGGGGAGGATGAGAGCCTGGGTGTGGCCCAGGATTGGCTCGGGATGCGGGAACTCGGAGGAAGAGAAGGGGATGGCTGCTCGGCTATTAACTAGAGCTGCTCTGTGGCCGCTGGGCCCCTAGTGGATAGGAAAGACGGTTCTCAGTGCATGGGCATCTATCGGGAATTTGGTATGGAAGCCAGGAGATTACTCTAGGGTGGGTGTAGACGCAATGGGGTCTGTTTCAGTTGGGATAAACACTGACCAAAGCAACATGGGGGGCAAGCATTGGTTTGGCTTCCACTTCGAGGTTATAATCGGCCATTGAAGGTTCTGAGGGCAGGAGCTTAAGACAGGAACTGTGAAAGGACACTGCTGGCTAGCTCTCTGACTCCTATGCAGGCTCTTGCCTAGCTTTCCTATACACCTATGCCCCCCTGCCCAGGCAGTGGTGTTGCCCACAGTAGGCTGGCTCTTCCTACATCACCTAGTAATCACAACAGTTCCCTCAAAATGTGCCCACAGGCCGAGCTAATCTAAGCACTTCCTCATTCCTCATTTGGGGCTCCCCCATTGGGTAACTGTAGGCTGTGCCACGCTGATGAGTAAGGGGGCCATCTAGCTGAAGAGGAGCCCACAGAAGACAGTGTCGTGGAGAGACAGACAGAAAGGCATACTGCAGGCGTAAAGAGCTGGTGCTCTAAGTGTCAGCTTGTCAGCACAGCAGCCTGTGCCACATGCTGCCAGGGGTGTACTGGGGACTGAGACCAAGGTGACCTACAAGGTTGAATTGTGTCCCCTACAAGATTATGTTGTTTTCCTAACCCTGTGCACCTTAGATATGACTTTATCGAAACAGATCTACTATTGATATAGTCAGTGACTTAGGAGATGCCATCCTGGGGTTGGGTAGGCTCCGCCTCCACTATGGCAGGTGTCCTCATACAAGGAATGAACTTGGCCATAGGCACGCATAGATGCGAGATCATGTAGGAATACTTGTGGGGAAGGTGTTCTGTAACCAAGGGGTACTGGGAGGGGCAAGGAAGGACAGCCCCAGGGCCCTTGGCGGGAGCATCTTAGCTTACAGAACTGTCAGAGAAGACTTAGACTGTCAGGGTGTAGAACTTGATTGCAATGCTCCAGGAAAAGAGCAGACTTTACAAAACATGGTTTGGGGCTGAAGAGATGGGACTGTGGTTTAGAGCCTGTACCGCTTTTCGGAGGCCCTTAGCTTGGTTCCCAGTTCCCACACCAGCTAGCTCATGACTGCCTGTAGCTCTATTCCAGGGGATCTGATCCCATCTTTTGGCCTTTATAAGCACCCGCACATACATGATATACACACTTCACACACATAACTAAAAATAAAACAAGTCTAATATGTAAAAGAAATCAGGATTGTCTCTAACTGGGAAATAGCCCA